CAGCTACCTTTCTGAAAATAGAAACTCTGTTCTGCTATGAATCTTTTGCAAATGGGCCCCTGACAAGGCAGGACAATGTGAGCCCCTGTGTTGGGCTCATGTTGTCCTGCAGGCAACTGAGGAGAAGCAGAAGAGTGGGATGAAATTTCAGCTCAGCATGGGGCAAAAGGAACAGCACTGAACATAGTCACAATGCAGGTAATGGTGTTTGAATGGGGAGATGTTGCTCCCCAATGCTGGGGATGTGGAGGGAAGAGGGATTAGGAGAATGATGCAGTTCCTCTGGTCCTGTAGGAGACAGAGCTATGGGCTGTCCAATTCCACAGGCTGAGGGAAATGATTCAGCCAGAAAAAGCCTCTGGGCTTACAGAAGTAATCCCCAAACGATCAGCAGCAATGGAAAGACCACTATGAAAATTTTATCAGTTATGTTAACAGATACGTTTGTGAAAGCCCATCTGAAGAAGCTTTGCAATGTGATACTGAGAACTTTGATAGTGAGTAACAAATTTGAAATACAAACTAGGTACAATGGAGCAGCTCTGGCAGAGGACAAAACCCAACCCCTTGCTCCTGATTCATGTAATGGCGTGGGTGACTTTGCCAAACAGTCACATAGGACAGCAGAGATGAACCAACTAACCAATGAGGGGCTCACAGTGACTTATCCAGAGCATGTGACTGACCTAGCAGAAACCTATTACTGTGATAGGAAAGAGCACTGCAGTTCAATCTCACACTTGAACTAAGCTAAAATTAAAGAGCACTCTACTCGTGACAACAGGTCAGCTTTTGGAGATGCTCTGAAATTAAAACAATCCCAAATTCACAATTCTGCCTCACTCTCTTCACTCATGCTGTTAACATATTTGCCATATGACCTCCATGCTGCAATTGCAGCACAGAAAAAACCAGTTACCTGACTGCCTGGGCTGTCAGAAACAGGACAAAGAGCTGTTCCATTGTCATACTGATGCAGTAGAGCAGCTGGATTCTCTCACTGCTGCTGAGTAAGGGTGCTGACAGTTTTTTTTGCATATACAACATACTCAATGAAATCTATATTCCTCTAATCTAAAATAACACTTTCCTCCACCTTCCTTGACACAGGATAACAAAGCAACATTCGAGTTTCACAGGTGCACCATCTCAGCTCCAGAACACTGCTGGCTCTGTTCCTCAGAAATCTTACCTCGAAAGGAAGGCCTGATGCTGCTTTATTGTGTCCAGTTCGTAGGTGGACGAATCACTCCTCTTCCGTGGCAGCTGCTTCTTTGGATCCTCTCCGTTGCTACGGGGAATATCAATGTTGCTCCTGCTGAGGTGTCTGCTGGCTTCCAGATTAGAGCCGCTGGAGCAATAGCTGTTGTTCACTGTTATTCCAGGAGACAGCAGGTCGGTATCCTGGGATTTGAAATACATGGACTTATCACTCTGACAACTGAATCATCCACATTATAACCTCCTCCTTCCATCCTTCTCAACCCATCTACATCAAAATCTCATTCAGAGCAAAGCCCACCACGTCCTGGGGTTCACACACACTAAGACACACCTGCTGGCCATCAATTACAAAGACAGACTTTGCTGTTTTGTGCAAAGATGCTCACTAAAACCAGGGGCTGTGGCCAGCAGACCTATTCCCAGCAGACACAGCATTACCTGGACACTCACAACACTCCCTCTTCGACTGCTGTTTTGGCTCTCAGACACAGTTTGATTGCTGTAGCATAAGGCATCAAATCCCAGAATTCCTCCAACACAGTCCCCGACCAAGCAGACCTGAAAAAGCCGACAGAGACGGGGTGGGGAAAAGCCCTTTGACTTCAGTTCCAGGTTGACAGTTAAAAGGAGAGCTGGATTATACTTGGAAAAGCTGCTGTAACAGGATAACCAGTGTTTTTATCAGTAAAACTATTTTGTCAGAGAACAACCGCTCACACCCTGCAGACTCTTGCTGGCCAGCACAGCTATCATGTTCTGCCTGTTCCCATCTGCCAACCAGAACAAGGTGAAAGCAACACAGAGACTGTCTATGGCCCTAAGTCCAGGGTCGAAAAAGCAAGCCTGAATCCTTCCTCACCAGCTGCCCACACCTCCTCAGGCAAGCTTTGCTGTGCTTCTATTCCCTTTTTGTGCTGTCAGGAGATAATGCTGTCCTGCCTCCAAGAGCATTCAGAAGATAGGCACAACACAGCACTGAGAGCCCTGAGCAGAAGGCAGCTTTTTGCGGCCCTGGGGCTGGGAACAAGCTCAGGGTGGATAATATCCACAACATGCACAGCCTGTTCAATAGCTCAAATTCCACTTGGGCTAGAGAGTCACTCTGCTCACAGGAGTGTGAAGCTCAGTGATGGTTTTTTTGTTTTGTTTTGTTTTTTTTACAGGACACAGGACTTGTGCCACCTCAAAAAAGAAACTTGTATTTGTGACAGACAACTCCACTGAGAGCTGCTGAAGGTCCTTTAAAAAGTGGAACACTCAAGCATCCTTGGTTTGCAATGGGAGTAACAAGAGTAGCGTTCCTGATTTGGAAAGGTGTGTCATGCTGAAAACTGATTAACTTCACAGCTTTGTAGCTTCATTTCTCAACATAAGCTCTGACTTTACTTTGAATCCCAAAGGTTCAAGACAGAGCGTAAGCAATAATCTCTCTTTCAGAAAGAAATGGAAGCACACTTATTGCAGCTCAACACTTTTGCGTTTCCATCCATCTTGAGAGATGAATGAAAAGAGCTTCAGAAGGAAATTGCTTCACTTGCTCTTCCTTTCGTTGTGGCTCACCTGGCCATTGAATGACATGCCCTCCTGGGATCTGATGAACTCGCTGTAGGCCTGGTTGGCTCTGACGATCACTGTGGCTACTGCTTCTTGGTACTGAGGTGATGATGTTGCTAGCAGAGGGAGGGCAGCAAGGGGAATATGATCCTGGCTGTTGGACAGGCAGCCTTCATCATAACTATATGGGCTGAGGCTGGATAGAGCAAGAGAGATTGGAAATACTAAGATGCAGAGTGGGGAAAACCATTTAGAAGCAGTACAGTCAGTTGTGAGGACTGCTAAAAGAAAAAAAAGAGCCACAAGACAGAACGGCCATTTATCCCAAAGTGAACACATAAGAAATTTAATAAGTCTTTCCCTCCCATCAAACGTAAATCTTCAAGGACAACACCCTTACATGGATAGAACAACCCTCAGACAAGGAACTAGAGCCTCAGTATTTATTAGATTCATTAGAGTAAATCAATCACAAAAGTGTTGCTGCATGATTACTGCATTCACTGCAGCTAAGTATGAAATCGAGATTGAATGCTTCTCTAGTATATTAATAAGTGCACTCTTGTAGTGTGGTCAGAACTTTCAATGTGCAGAGTATTTAATGAATGCTAGATCAAAAACGAAAATAAAAAACAAGTGTGAAATTTTACACGTCTGAAAAAAAGTAGCATCAACTTACCTGGACACCAGTGAAAAGGCTTCAGAGCAGATGGCTGGGCAAGGGACTAGCCTGATGGCAATGTGTCCAAGAGCAGCTGGGTAATGTACCCTCATCACTGTGTCAAAGACAGTCGTGATGGTGTTGACATCCCCTTGCTTAGAGCTCTGATCACCACTTCCCGAGTCTAGGATGTTCCCTCCATGGAGTACTAAGAGGAGGACATGGATTTTACTTGGCTGCATTAATGGCTGCACTGATTCATCCTGGGTGGGAATGAACAGAGCAAAGTAGAAAGGTTGGTTTTGCAAAGAAATTATATTTGTCCCACACGGATTTTAAGGAAATTTTATCACCTTTTCTCCCCTGAGCTCAGACACAGTACTTACAACACATGCACTAGTTAAATAAGTTTCAGACTTCAGATTTGTTTGTAACGTTGGCAAAGAGGAACTGAAGAGAAAAAACTTCCCCATAAAAAAGTTCCCCATAACCAAAGGGCTGGCCAACAACTGGCTCAGTGGCTGCTATACAGACACACCACAGGTTTGTACTGTGGCTGTCCAGGTTGTTTGCTTATGATGTTGAATAAATTCCTTGCCTTAAAAGACAGGTTGCAGTTTGCATCTGAACTCCAGGGAGGGTTATTGTTAAGTTTCCCACCAGAACAGCTCTCAATCTGATCCTGATGCCCTAAGAGCAGGTCCAAGAACATCCACTTGTGTTGGTTACGTGTTATAACGCAATGGAACATAAACTATTTTTGGTATCTCTCCACTATCAGGGCTCTCAGTGTTAACAGCTCCTTTGCAGACTCTAATCCCCCTACCCCAAAACCTGAGACAAGCAGAAGCAGGTACTGATCCTTTCTCCTGTGCCTCACCCCACATGCTAGCAGAGACAACCTCTGAGAACATCCTGTCTCCTTCCCCAGGGGAAGGCAACTCCCTGCTGAGGCAGTGCAGAAGACACTAGGAGTGGGTAGGAAAGGGGAGGAGGGGGCAGTAGGATTTTCCATTTGGCAATTTTTTCTTATTTTAACATCTTTAGTCACCTGCTGTCTTTTGAGCAGTGATTGAGGCCCTGACAAACACAATGGTGGGAGGGAAGCATGCCCAGGCACACATTAGCAACCTAACAGCTAGCTTGCATTTTTACCAGATAATGCTAAAGCATGTGTTAATACGCAGCCCACCAGAAGCATTAAAATTCACATCCAAGTCTGTAATAAAGATTTTCCAGACCTCCTGCACAAGAACAGCCTTTAATTATTTAGCACCATTACATTATATTAACATCTGCTCTTTAAACTTTCTCCGATTCCAGTTTACAGTGCTTGCAAGGTGAACTTTTCCCTGGCTGGAGGCATCAGAGGACCTCTCTCCGCATCTGAGCACTGCTTTCAGACAAATGTTTTAAGTGCTCATTTGGAGAACAACATGAGTCACCAAGCTCAGGTCATCCGGAGGTTTATCAGTCATTTGGAGGCGCCGTTCCCTTCCAGTTCATTAACCTCTGCTCTTAAAGGAAGTGGGGAACATGCAAGCAACTGCTGATTATTTTAGGGGTGGTGGTGGCTATTTAGAACTTTCCTGTAAGACCTGGATTCACGTAAGACAACTGAATCTTGGGCTACCTTTTGGTGAGGGAGTTTCCAAACTGGAAATCCCTGCTGTGGTGGCTAGAAATTTCTAACTGTTTTAGGGGACTACTTGTGATCGACTATGAGAAAAAGGTATTTTTAGCTCACTTACAAGTTCCTTTCCTAAAATTAAGCCAGAAACGAGAATGACTTGAGGAGACTACCTGAAGAAGACAGCAACTCCTCTGCACCAATTCAGCTTCTGCATGAAATCTTAGGGTTGTGAGCTGCAGACAGCTCACCTTGAGGTGGCTAGAAACACTCCATCTCCAGCAACCCACTCTCCCCATAGCCCTCGAGCTCTCAGTCTCTACAACAAAAGCTGCATGTAGAATAATACCAAACCCATGCTCACAGTCTTTGACTGTACCAGAAGTTGAGCAGTTCACAGCAGACTCTGCAAGCAGCCACATCAGCTGTGCAGCACAGACAGGCATTGCCTGGGGGGCAGGATGACTACCATGACTCTAAGGGACACTCACTGGGACACTGGCTTGCAAAAACCTGCATAACTCCAGGACTGGAAAACCAGCGGGTTAATCATTTGTTATTTTATTTGGAGCTCTGATACAGGCTGTGCTATAACTGGTTTCCAAACAAGGCCCTGAGCAGCTCAAATGAGTGGGCTGCAGCACAGCTGTGTCAGTGGGACTTCTGCAGCCTGCAGTTACACAGCACTCCTGTTTCCACTAGCTCACTTGGCATTATCAGGGCAGCTCTACCAGCAGTGCCTGAGGCAGCTGTTATCCCCACAGGATCAGTGTTTTTTCCAGCTGGATACCTGATACTGCCTGCAAACGATTGAAAATTTTCTATCTGATGCTCAAAAGGCAGGTGAAATAATCCCTTAAGCCTAGCCAGGGAGTACACAGCATACCAGTGTGGCTTCAAATGATACACAAAGACAAGACACCGCTTGCAGCGAAGAGAGCAGTTCACCCCATTTACCCCACATGGAGACTTTCCAGCAACAAGGGATCTTGTTATAAGAAACCAAAGTGCTTACTTCAATGATGCTGAGCCGCTCCACACTGGAGCCAACGTGGTATTCTGCTGATGTCTCATGATACAAGTCACCTGCAAGCACAGAGGTTTAAAATGTCAGCACTGCAAGACGCTTTGGCAAAGACACTCTCCCACACAGGCAGATTGTGCCAATGCCTCTCAGCCTCTTTGCCTCAGATTGCCTTAATTATTTCATCAAATTGCCCTCTCCTTCCCTCCCCCATCCTTCCAGCTGAGAAACCTGGGCAATGCCAGGCCACTTATTTTCCAGCAATTTCTCATAACCTCAGTAAGCACTTTAGGACACTGGCAAGCTCTACTCTCTTTACAGCAACCCAAGCATCCTCACTGCATCAGGCACTGCAACAACGAGAAATCCCTGCACAATTCTCAGAAATGATTCACGTGTGGGAAAATAAAAGGAACCACTGCAACTGCACTGGGGGAGCAGAGATCTGAGGGACTCACATGTCTGTGTCTACACAGATCAGCATTGTACTAGAAAGCCTAAGTGTCATCCTTCACTGTGTTGCTACATGAATCGAGCTAGCTGAGGAGTCCAATTCCTTCCAAAGTTTTGTAAAGATGAGCAGAAAAAAAAATTGAAAAAAAAATCGAGGTGGGTACAGATAAGAACAAAGGGTGGAGCAAGAGAAAAGAAAAATAAGGAGAGATTGAAGTGATTCAAGACAGAGCTGAAATATTCCATCATTATATGAATGAATCCTGGCTGTCACACAAAGGAACCTAACCAACATGGGAAATGAAGAGAACCAAGAGCTTCCTTCTCCCATCTCCCACCAGGCAGCACCGTTCCAGCAATGCTGGGCAGTCATTTCTACGCTCTGCCTCAGCTTCTCCGTTCATGAGATGAAGATAACAAGTTTTATATTGCTCAGAATGGGGCTGTAAAAGTGACCTGGAAAGACCTTGAAATATCACATGCGGTTTTGATTTAAGAAAAAAAAAATTACCCTGGACATCATCACATTCGGGGGTTTCAATTTTATCCATCAGATCATTGGAACTCCATTTGGTTATTTCTTTCGGGAACATTTCCTCATTGTCAGACAAGTCCTCTTTAAAAAACAGATTTTTTTGAGTCACACACATACAGTTATGTAGACAGACGAGCACAGAATAGAATTTTAATCAAAAGACCCCATAGCTATATGTAATCTTATAAACATCCTGATTGTTTAAGTCATAATAAAACACGGTACTTTCTCGGCTTTCTTTATGTAGGAAAAGAAGCCTATTTTGAAAAAGTCAAGAACATGCAACTAAAAGGTTCTGTTTCCAAACAAAAGCCCTAAGGTGTGGAAAACATGACATAGATTCTTAGAACAACCACTTGAAGTACAAAGTTAGACATTTTTCCTGCTGTACTTTCTGCTTAGCATGACCATGTATGGCTGCTTGGTGATGCTGAGCAGCCAGCAGGTTCCATACAGGAGAGGACAAAGCAACATTCACTGCTGGGATCCTCCCTGAGTTATGTGAAAGCTGAGTGAGGTCTTAGGGGGAAGCAGCGATCAGAATCGCTGTTGTTAACAGGACCAAATACCTAAAAAGGCAGAAGTAACAAAGGAAACGTGAACTCCCTAGGCTATCTTTAGCCTGATTTCCTCAGGAGACTGACCACATTGCCTCTGCGTCCTCCATTTCCCTCCTACCTCACGAGCTTCTTCCCTGGCTAACTTCAGCTACAGCTGGTAAAGAACAAGGGTCCCCAACACACTACCTTCAGAGAAATGTAACGAAAAGGAAGAGGCATAAAAGGGACAGATCCTATAAAACACACCCTGGCAGCATCCAGGAAGGTTAACAGGGCTCCAAATGAGCCCCTTGCAAGGCACTCCCACAGCCCCCACACTCAGTGCTTCACCAGGACGCATTCTTGGAAGAGGAGCAGAGCCCTGGGGCTGCACCTGAACCCACAGCCAACAGCAGCAGCTGAAGGCTTCCAGCAGTGCTTTTGCTATGAGTTGCTGGTTCCTTCTCTTTTTTGTTTTGTTTTGTTTTTTTTTCCCCTACGTTAGGGATGTGTCTTTAACTGTTACAGAGGTTAATTGGTTTCTGATTTATTTATTGCACTGTGCTTATTATTCCTTTCCTGAAAATTTTGGGCTCGTAAATTTAATAAAGAGATATAAACATAATAATAACAGCAGCAATTACAGATGTCTTGATCTAAAATCTTTAGAGTCCCAGACGAGGGTTCTCCCTTTCTTGGTGCAGTGCAGTCACTAAGAAAATAATCAGTTGGAAGAATCCCAGGATCAGGAAACAAAAAAATTATGAAATTTATTATTCTTTTCAGTGTATCTAGCTAGTATCTCAGGTCTGAGCGCACAGCCAAGCAAAGACCAATTATTTTTAGGAGTTTCTATTTACACATTGACCACAGAAAGACAGCAACCTGGAAACTTCGTATTGGCATGCCATTTCCTTTTTCAGCTATGGAAAAAGCTGAGTAAATCCTCAGTGCCCCACGCAAGGGAGCATGGAGTACCTGTTCCCAGCAAGGGGAAGCACGTGCGTGCAAAACATGTGCTGGCAGAGAATTAAGAAGATTGCACTCAAAGCTCCTTCAGCAACTTAAGCTTAATATTGAACTTATTTCCTTGAGAGGCTTAATTGCAGCCCTTATTGCTACCTAAGTGATCACTGAAAGGGATATTACTCCAGTTGTTAACGTTTATTACAGGATGGAAATCAGATATTACTGTACTTGTCACCACTTTAACCAGACTCAGTGAACAAGGATGAGTGGGAAGCCCAAGACAAGAAACCTCCCCGAGCTCAGAGTACACCCACTGCATGGTGAAGGAACGTGTGTGTCCATGGGAAGCACTGCTGAGGATCTCTGCTGGGTGCTGACCCTGATCAGTTCCACTTCCATACAGCACTGACCCCGCATCTCCCATGAGATGAAGCACGATGAGCCTCCTGGCTGCTGCTGGGGTTACTTCTCCCTCCTAGGCACCTTACAAGAGCTCCTGGGATTCCCCATGGGCCTGAATCCCAAGCATCTATCTCAATCTAAACCCTTTTTAGTACTGAGTAATTAAAAAGAAAAAAAAAAAAAAAAGGGTGGATAGCAGTGATGCCATTTCAATGACTCATTCCTCTTTTCTTGTTATGTATATTGCTACAATAAATCCTCTACCGTTTTTGTAGGTGCTATATAAGTCAATAAATTGACTTGAAGTTGGCCTTTCTCTGTCCAAACAAGATGAATTCATCACTTTGACTCACAGGCATCCTGGCCACTTTCTACCCCAGCATTTGGGATGCATGCCTAAATACTTGATGTGAGAACTCTTCTAGAACGTGATACTATCAGTTTTGTGGGTCTGAACTTTTGCTGAACATCACTGAAATTCTGCTTTACAAAACTGGGGTGTGATCTTCTCACAACTCCATTTCAGAGAAAGGTCACCAACTTCATCAGCACACGTTGCACATGTAACTTAGATTAGCATTACAAGCTGAGAGGAGTCCATCTGTTGTCAGCAGAGACAGAGCCTCCCAGGCTTACATACATATTAAGCACAACATATAAAATGAATGCAGTGGAACAAAGCTTCTTCATATAATTACATGGAAAAAAATAGAAGAAATAACACCAAAGCATTCACCAAATGTGAGCAGTCAAAATTTGGAAATTCTGGAATCAACACTGATTAATTTTGGCACATGAATTCCCTGTTGCATTCATTATTGTACTTCCAGGAACAGGAGGATAAGGAGTTAATAAAGGCAAACGTCAGCCTCTTCAGGCCCAGTCAGAACAATTAATCATATCCTTTACTGATTAAAAAAAATTATTAAAACATCAGTCTTACTGAATCAGAATAATTAAGACACACCCACAGAGCAGTAAGCATTGCTAAATTTTATCCACACATTTGCAACAAATAAAATACAGCTCCAAAAGGTTGAGATTACTCAAGATCACATCAGATAGATCACAATGAATCTGAAATGCTGCCGTGTTAAATACAGGAGTCTGCTGGGTAGTGCTGGGGAAGCTCAAAGAAGCTGCACTGATGCTACAGACAGCTTGGTTAGAAAGGAACAGACCCGAAACAAAGCAATGAAGTCTTGCTTCCTTCCCCACACACTCCCCACAGCTCATGCTTTCCGCCCCCTTATCCCCACCACTTCAGGTAATGAACAAGGTGATTTAGGTTCCACATACCATGTGCATCAAAGAATTCATCATCTGAGCTGTCATCTGAATCCCTGGCAATGCTCTGCATCCTCCACTCCGAGATACTATGGCGTGAGGGACTTGCTGGAAAAAGCAGAAAAGCCTTATGCAAAACGCTACTTCGACAAGACAGAGAGTTCCCAACATGATCTTTGCTGGAGGAAGAGTTGTGTGTTCTCCGCAAAAATGCACTGCTGCAATATTAAAAACACAAAACCCTGATGATGCTGGTGTGATGTCAGTGTACCACTTTACGGATCCTGTTTGTTTACTGTTGTTATAACCTGCCGGCAAGATGCTACATTAAAGCAAGCTGTTTGTATCACTCTTATGCTATTTTGAATGGCAGCTATTTATAATTGTTAGTAGGACGTGCAAAATCAGCTGGGTTTTAAAGTTTGCAATTAGGAAGGAAGCAGGCTGATTGGAAGCTTTCTTCGTTCCTTCTAATCAGCACACAAGCCATGCCTCTGCTTCACTAACTTTTGGGTGGGTAGCTAAGCAGAGCAGCCTGGATAGAAATAATCTGTTTTCTGGAAGGAAATTGCTTCCACACAAATTGGATTAGAGATCTATTTAAACTTTAAACTTCAATGATTTAAACAATATGCTATCCAACTACTTCGGAGGGGAGCTGTTGGAGCAGCTGTCCTGCTGCAGCAAGGAGGAAACCCAACAAACCTTTTGGTCCCTGTTCACCCCCCTTTCCTCACACCTACCCACTCCCTTTCTCTTCCCCCTCCAGAGTTCCCTACACCGTATGGAAATACATCACAGCACTATTTTTTCAGATATATTTCAGCAGTGATGCAGTCTGAGCTCATCACAGAAATGTGGTCCGATGAAGGGAACGGCTCAAACAATGTTACATGGTTTTTCCCCTTTCAGATTCCTCTTGCATGTCACAGAGGGGAGTGCACACCTCACCTAACACAGCTGAGGAGACTGACAAATTCTCATTTAACACGTACAAAGCCTCCGAAAGGCTCCGATTCCTGCGAGAGCTGCACGAGCTGTTTCATACTATTGCCTGCAACAGCGTTAAATACGTAAGTCAAAGGCTTCCAATTTCAATTCTGCTACCTGACTGTCACATGCAGAGACGAAGGAGACCCTGTGCAGTCATCTAATTGCAGCCCAGCAGGGGTTTGGCAGCCCCCAGCTCCCCACCGCCCACCCCTCTGGAGCTGGGAGCGAGGAGGTTGGCAGAGCGCAGCCCATTCACGCTGCTGTGACGTCAAGGCACTCGCATAATGGTTGCTAAAAATAGAGCATATAATAACATATGGGATGGCGACGAGGGTCCTGCTATCACCAGAGGTCTCACTCGTGTGGTATAGAAAGGACTGAGATCTTTGGCAGAAAGGCGTTAGCTTTTTTCCTGTTGGAGGTAGCGGTGCGTCGACACAGCCCTCCTTGCTTCCATATGTTAATGTGCCACCAGAAAGATTAAAATATCTGCGTGACGTACTTCTCAGCACATCACAACTCATTTCTTCCATTACTTTTTCCTGTAAAAGCTGAGGCAATCCGCAGTTTCATCCAAATCCACGCTTTGCTCTTAGTGAAAACCTTCAAGTAAAATCCTAAAGGGTCTGAAATCTACAGCTGCCAATGAATACATCAGTACTGAGGAGGGGGTTCATAACAAAGAGCGTAGTGAGAGATGGGCACATTGCTAAAACATCCTGGTGCAAGCAAAGTAGCATTTTTATCTCCATACAGCGATTTATGAAGCGTCTGGTAGGTTCCTCCCTGGGGCTCATTGGTGAGTCACTGCAAGGTAAAACTGCTGCTCGTATCTCATTCACCATGTGATGAAATCAGTGATGGAGTGGTAAATAAAAATTGAGAATCAACTCCAATATTCAGTACATGTGAGAGATGGATAAGCTTCACTCACCCAGATGCCTCTTCCACCGTCCCTGGAAGAAATGCTGCCTCTTGGGGCTTCCAAAAAACCCAGATTTTTGCCCTCTTGCTGAGAGAGCTATTACCCCAGCTACCAGCTGCGCCTGACTGAAAGGAGAGAGAGCAGCTGGGGATTCGAGCCCTGTCTCCCTGTAACTTGCATTGTAACTGAGCCCTAAACAGGGTATCTGCTGGGGCTTTAACAGCAAAAGCCTGAAAGCTTGCTGAATGGTATTTAAAGGGGAATGTAACCATGATCCATGTCTCACCTGGTTTCAAGCCAGCTATGAGTTTTGGTTCCCAAACAGCCAACATGCACTACCACTAGTGAAAGGCAGTGAACCCCAGCCCCTCGTCCTTTCACAGCACCTGCCTTAGTTTCTCCAGCAGCCAATGGAGTCCTGCAGTGCGTCAGCTGCACTGCAGCATCGAGCAGTAAGGTGTAACTGCAGCCAAGGGCACAAGGTGCCCGTTGGTAATGGCCTCCTGGATGAGCAGTTAACTGCCACCTGCTGCTGGGTTCTGCACCCCGGGGCCAGGCACAACACAGCATGCAGGCAGGGAGCTCTGCTGATGGATGAGGGCTTGTAAAAGCCACTGGTGGGTAAAAAGAGCCAAAGCCTCTCCGTGCTGCTTTGTTTGTCATTTTCTGACACCCAACACTGCTACCCAGCTGCTTCCTACTCTTCTACTGCTTCTCCTAATTCCTGTGCTTTCAGAGTGGCATGAATTCTGCCATATGCCCTTCTGACAGTCACAGTTATGGGATAATGACAAACATTTCCAAACCCACAGGAGGCCACCTGAGAAGTCTGAGCCTGAAACACCAGCAGAGATCTCTCATGAGAGCTGAAAGGGCTCACAAGAGGAATAAGCACTGTCCCAAAGGTTTCAGCCAGCCATACTTTCCTAAAGCCCAGCCTCTGCACAGTTCAGAGAAGCATCTTACCTCCTCTCTTTGAAGACCGGGAGGACTTGGAAGAGGTGGACCACTGCTTGGTGAGCGACCTCCCAGAGGCTGTTTCACTGTTACCAGAGACATCTTCTGGGTCCACAGGTGAAACTGCGTCAGCTTCAATGTCCTTCTCACAAGGAGCATCTTTGACTCCGTGCTGCTCGGGATCATTTTCACCACAGAACTGGGCCATCTTCTGAGCCAGCATCAGCTGTGCCTCTTTCTCCAGCTGCCGGATATCCTCGATGGTCAGCCCGTACCATTCGTCCTGCCAGCACCAAGCCTGCCGATGAGCACGGACCATGACCTTCCGCAAGCCTGCAAAGCCAGAACACCCCAGTCAGCAATGCTAGAGAGCTGCAGGAGGAAGTGTGTTCCCCTCCCCAAAGCCTCAAGACTCCATGGCACTGATGTTACACTGGCACTGATGTTACAGAAGCATTGACAACATAACGCGTCAAACTGTAGAAATGGATGTTTGTGTACCAATCAAGGTTGGAAAAAAATCAGTCATTTCTGTGCTGTACCTCCTGAGTTCTTGCTAAACAATCATCTACTGACAAATTAGCTGGTATTCTGCAACTTCTTTTAGCTTGGGAAGGCATTGTGTCATTCCACATCCTAGACTTTGCCTGCAATTGCCTGCTCTGCCAAGGAAGAGCCGGGCACAGGCCACAAATAGCACTCTCATGAAACTCTGGGAAGTTGCAACAACACGTAGATCCAGCCTTCAACGTGAGTTCCCAGGACATGTTCCCAGGAGAACGTTACAAAGAACAACAACAACAAAAAAATCACATTTTAAAATTATTATTATTTTTAATCCAGGCTTGTTTCAAGTGGTTCCTTCACAATTACCACATAACCCACAACAATATGGGACACAATAAAAAGGCTTCCCATATTGGTTGTGCTAAGATGACCAAAAGCTCTCCTTTTCCTGGAAACCCTGCACTTGGTTTCTACACATCAGTAAAAAACCACCACAGATATGAGCTTCAGAGAGAACGGAATGGGAAGAAAAGGGAAGGAGGAAATAAAGCATACTTTATTTTGCAGATACAATCTTTCTTCCGTAGCACGAGAAAAATGAAGTGTGTAAAGCCAATTTAAAACTTGATTTCTATGTGTCACATAACTGAAACGAATAACTATCCCAATATCAACACACAGTGCTCACAAGGCAAGAGAAACTCTCCTAAAACTTGCAGCTAACGGCTAACATCATCACATCACCAAGACTTTTAGAGCAGAGTGATTGCTGTGGATTTTCAACCTATTTTTCTGCTTAAAGCTCACATCAGGTCAAATCTCCAAACTGTCATATATTACTGATGGGAACACCCAGCAGTGACAGTGCTTTTTAAAAGCTTCGATAAATACTGAAAACTAATCCTCAGGTACCAATCAGTGAATATTGTTCCCCCTTTAATTAGTGGGAAACTGAGGCAGCTGTGAACTGACAGATAGGCTGAGAGCAGCAGCAGGGTTATGGGGCTGCAGCTCTCCTCTGCTGGTGTGCAGGTGCTCGAGCACTCACTCTAATAAGACCCTATTTGAACACCACAGGTCACAGCACCACTGCTGCCTTTACACCACAGCAAGCAATCAATAGGCAACATTAAAACCACGAATAATGGTTCCAATGCACAGGGATTCTAAGCTGTTTCCAGCAACATTTGCTTTGCTGTTGTAAAGAGACTCTTAGATCTCACTACTGTCATGCCTTCTGTGATCTTATGCCTAAATGCTACCTTTGTTTTCAGCAGTTATTTTTTTTTTCTTTTTTATTTGAAGCATATAAAAGCTTATTTTTCTATGCTTATTTCCTTCCAGGCATGGGCACTTCATTTTCTGCTCTGCACTTAGTCCTCCATGCCACCAGCTAACACAAGCCACCCTATCAGGAAGAAACAAGCACAGAGATCAGCAGCTAACAGGATGGATCAGCTCAACCTGAACTTCATTTGCACAGTAAGATTAAGTCTATCAATATTTTATGTAGTTCTCTGCCTGACTTTCAGATGGGAGCTCCACTTAACAGGAGCACGCTTGAACCAGCAGACTGTGACCTTCTGGGGGCTGAACAAGGGGCATCGGCCACTTAAAATTCTATTCAACCTTAGCCAAGATTCAGTGTTATTTCCTCTACCAGATCACTTTTTGCAGAACTGCAGGAGAACATTTTAGCCTTTTTCACCTCCTGTTATGACTGACAATCAGCAGAGCTTAAAAAACAGAGATTAAACTCTCATCACATCCAACAGAAAGCCAAGAAAACACTTCATTTGCTATACCCCACATCACAGCCATCCTTTGGGCTCACTTGCTCCCAGCCCAATGGAACCCACGGACCTCCCACTGGCACTGCTCATGTCAGGTTGATTAAACATCCCCCAAATCATCCTTTCTAAAGCCTTCTCTTTTGAAAACAAGATGGCATGATTCATCATTCCAGATCAGTTATGAATCAAAAAGACTGAGATTATTTTCCTAGCCTCTGGCCTTCAACGGGGACACCAGCAATGCTGCTCTTCCCTTTTTCAAGCACAGGGAGAAACGTGGAAGAGAACAAGGTTGTCCAGGTACAGAAGAAATTGAAAAATAAATACTGATGAGCCTCTACACAGCCATATGAATTCAAGATTCAACTGCAAATGACTGACATTGTGTCTGAACAGACGCAGTGGAAAAATTTGAGTCTTACAGTTTTTCCTCAACATGTCGGAGAAAAACAAGCTTATCCGGAAAGTGAAAGGGAGGGCATAGATCAGGAAACAGAGTGAGGTTGTGAAAAACTCTTCTTAACAGATCAAGATGCCCAGCAGCACAGTGCTGAGGTCTTCCAATCCAAACCATTCTATGATTCCTCTCCAGAACTGATGGATAACCCCACAGTCCTGGCAGGCAAGTCACCCACTGAAGTCAGCGAGAATGACAGGAGTTTTGAAAGGATGCAGGTAGCAGCTGATTACAGTAATATGTAGTAGCTAACAAGTAGTTCATTATTTCAATATCCAGTAGTTAACAAGACTTCGTTATTTCTCTAGAGTGCACAAAGCTTTGGTAAAAAAAAAAAACAAAAACAAAACGAACAAGGAAGCCACACATGCACATCAGTACACATTCAAATTGAGTTTAGAAGTACTCATCATTTTTGTGTTGATTTAATTATAACATTTCCCACTGCGTTGTGCAGAAAGATGATCTGTGCAGAGTCTAGCAGGGGGCAAACATTTAAATCATTCACCTTTCAACTCACCACCTCTCCAGCTCTGCTGAATCCTTCAGGTGCTGGCTTTTGTAAGTGACTTGTCTGTAGACTGTGGTGTTTAACTTAATTTCACAAAAGAAAGTGTAAGTGAATATGACAAAAGTCAGGATAGCTGAACTTAAAAAGCATTTGTCTGCAGCTTGGGTTTGTTTTTCAATTTGCTGTAGTTGCTACTTTTAATTCAATTAAAATAAAACAAACAAAAACCACCACCAAATCTTGCCCAGATCTCCCTCAACCACCTACATAACACAACTGGTCAGACGCCCATCGATTATGCACACAGTGGCAGCATCCCAGAGCTTTTATAATGCACTCTCTCAGTTTCCTGTCAGCTGATAAAGGATGTCTGATTTTCTCCACGCAACATTATTTCCTTGATGGTCACAGCAGATTTGACATCCTTGTCAACGCAGTTCTGGCTGTCTGACTGTATCTGATCAAAGGTGACTGCAGCTTTATCTGCTGACTCCCTGCCTTCCCTTGCTCAGACCTCTCACAAAGGGAAGCGTGTTGTCACACCTGTATCGTGCTAATCACGACCCACCTTCTCTTCAAAAGACCAAAACCTACCTACAGGTAACAGTGGGCAGTGCTCATCTGGATAAACTTTCGTACTGGAGTGCTTAAATGAAGACAAAGTTCTACAAAACAGCTTTCTAAAATCTCTTCCATTTCATCACAGCGCAACAATTTGGGCACATTTAGCCAAAGGTACACTGGCTTACACAAAGCTCTGGTTTCTGGGATGGGAACACACTCTGACATGGTATATAGTCAATACACAGTCAACACACTTGTTTAGCAACAAAAGAACTGTAGCCCACGTGCACGATTAGGAAGCAAGTGGGAGCAGAACATTATGCAGTGCCAGTCCAATTAAACTTAAATTCTATGGGAAAGGAGTAAAAAAGCACACAAATATTACAGCCAAGCAGACTATCAGCCCACAATTTTAGTCTGTGTGTCGGACTGTCAAAGCACTGAGTAACTGTCCAATTAGTCATCCAAAAAAAAAAAAAAAAAAGGTTGCTGCACTCAGTAAGACTGAGAACATTTCAACACCATCCCCCAGAGTCACTCCCTCTGCACTCAGTCGCCCTTCCACATATAACAACCATCCATCTCTTAACTTAGAAGTTTCCTTCTCGCAGGTCATTCTCTAGTTATAGTTTGCACCACTGAAGGACTGCTCCCACTTCAGGGAGAGTTTCAATCCTGCTCTGGATTTCTGCCTCAGTTTTCTCCCCATTTTGATGACCCTGCATAGGGAGAGCTAATTCCCCAAGGATCAGATTTGCAGGAGCCAGCAGCAGAGGAGCCAGCAAAGAAATGCCAAGGAGGATTTGGCAGACAAACATCTCCAGCACCTGAGTAGCTTGGTCCATGGCCCAGTATATGAACCTGGCCAGTCTGCCATAGCTCACATTCTCCCACTTTAAACACCCTCACACCCAGCTATCCTTTGCACACAAATTCAGACACTTTTCCCATTCAGAGAGCTTGTCCATGGCTGCCCCATCCACAGGAAGGCTACACATTTGTAGACACCCAAAGCTTTTGCTTTCACTTTTACTCACTCAGCTTTGTCTTGCCTTAAAGTCTTCTCTCATTTTATGCATCTTAACCACTTTGAAAAACAGTATTTGCCATCACTGTAACGGAGTGGAAAGGCTTTTGAAAGGCAGACAATGAGCTGGCTCGGCTCTCTGCAAAGCCTCAATCAAGAGGAAAATGGCAGGCAATCTTTTATGAAACACAAAAGAGACATTTCTAAGGGACCGAGGTTTAATCTATGCCAAACACCTCTGAACAACTAGAGGAGTCACATGCTTCTTTTTCATTTAGCAGATACAAAGGAGTTGTTATTCTGCCCCCATGTTTTGCAGCACACACTAAATTAACCCATGTCACTGAAGCACCGAGGGAGTTCGTTGCAGAGAGCCACTTGTAATGAAGTCTATAGCAGGAAAAACTTCCATTTGTGGATAAATAAAACCAAAGGGGCTCTAGGAAAGGCAACTGTGACTATTCAAAAATGTTGTGCAGCATCCTCCACTGCTCTATTGGTGTTTTCCACATGAGCTCTCAGGAGCACAGTATAACTAAGAAGAGTTATAAAATTATTTACTTCTAGCATCAGGTCCTTCAAAGAAGCTTTGCATATGGAAAGGGACAGCTGTACAGGAGAATTCACTGTAGACAGAAAGTAGGAAGCATCCTTTGTATGGTCTTCCTTGGGACAGTCACAGCTCTGCACTTCTTTTGAGATAAAGAATGTTTTAAAGAAAAATTCCTAAGTTATCCACCTGGCCATAGAGCCTCTCTCCTGTGGCAAGGCTCACAAAGTCTATCACAGTTGTGTATAGATTTTCTGCAAGAACAAATTACTGCCAGTATTGCTACCACCTGCACAGTCCCCACTTAGTTTCTTCTGGAACACAAACAATAGGCTGCCTCCTTAAAAGCACTGACCTAAGAATGATGCATCAATCAAAGCAGCACATTTACTCACAACTGAGAGCTGTCGATGCCCCATGGTGTGTTACAGCACAGTGAGGTGGGGAGTCTGGAACACAGAGATGTATGGCCACACAAAGACCCACCTGCCCTATCACAAGGCAGGCAGGAACCAGGGATGATCCAGGGAGTGGTTTCCTGGGACTAATTAGGACTCGTAGTTGAATGAGTTGAAACTCATTTCCTTGAGCTGCACTTGAAGAAATTGTCCAAAATAAAGAAAAATGGCACATTTTGAAAGAGATCCAGGTTTAACAGACAAATCCTTATTAAAAAAAAAATAAATAAACTTGAAGCCCTTTAGATGGCTGCATGTGATACAGATTCATGCATGCCATGACTGTAAGTCATAGAATTACATTTTTCTGAACTGACCAAAAGCCCTGCAAAAGAGCAATCAGATCTGACAGTCTCTTCACAGACCTGTCCTGGGATATCACACACTGCACGTACCTCACCACTGTATTTCTATTCAGAAACAACATTAATGAGTCAACAGTGAACCTTGCAAGTCTATAAATGCTCACCAACATCATGGATAAACCGTTCGATTTTTGACTGCATCCCCCAGTATCTGAACTCGACTTTACAAAGTTTATATGCACACATGATGGGGTATTTCCCAGGGTTGTTCTTGTACTCTTGAATCCAGTCTTCTGATAGAGGACCTCTTTTAGTCTTCACTGATTTATACAGCTTTGGATCCTCCTCAGCTTTGTATTCATGCGGAGGGATAGGATCTTTAACTATATCAATAGGATCTGTAGAAAAAACAGAAATAGACAGACATTTCCTGAATAAAAGAAGAAACATTTTTCAGGGTTTATTTGTTTTAGTAATTACCAGAAGTATCACAGCAATTTATAGTTTCTTTCTGACTTATACTTAGATGACTGATATTTAAATTGTTTACGTGCTGCTGCTGGGTAGAGATCAGCTCTGCCAGAGCAACTTGTATGCACAGACCCAGCAAACCAAGATTTGCTCCAAATCTTTCTGCTCAGTCACTACAGGTCCACAGCAGATCTGCTCACTCCTTTCTTTCCAGCTCCAAAAAGATTTTTTTTTTTGCTATTCCATCTCTCAGTTTCTCAAACATGACTCACTGTGGTACAGCTCTGCCTAATCTGAGACTGTCAAATACAACATCTCCCCCCTACCCCCTTCTTTTTTTTTTTCCCCCGATTACTGTTATGGAAAAGGGGCTGCCTCTGAATGTTGTATCTTTGGAACCCATTACGTGAGATTATCGTTAACTCCTCAAACCTTATTGTTACACCAGATGTACTAGGGAAGGTAGAAAGTTCAATGCAAATCCAAATTGTCCTAATTAACACTTCAACAATGGAGAAGTGGAAATCAACATATGCTTGCTCTATTCCCATTGCAAAGATCTGAAACCACGACCCCAAACCACAGCAGCAGGATCTCCCTTTGCTCTTCCAACACTCTCAGCATGGCAGCATGACTCAAACCTGTGTGCTCAGGACTGAAAGCCTGATAGGCTTAGGAATTGCTGGCAAGCAAATTGAAGTTTAACACAAGCATTCTAAATCAAGTAACACTCAAGTCTAATTGGACAGTTACCCGCCACAGTCAGTTTATCAACAGAGCCTGAGGAGCCAGAGCAGCCACTAGGTGTCCCTCCCCAGGGCTCCCACTGGGCCACCCTGAGCTCAGATCCCTTCTGCAGCCCCAGGGATGCCTCAGCTCTGCAGGGCTGAACGTGCCAGCACTCCCTGCTGTGCAGCTGGGCTCCAGCAGATGCTGTCGGCACAGCCACCATGGACAGCAAGACAGAAGGATGCTCTAACACTTGCCCTTTTCTGCCATTCGACAGGTTATCCTGTTTTTGCCTTTCCTCTTGTTCAATCCTTACAAATACAAGGCTCATTAATCCAATCTCCCAGACAGCTGTGAAGCTGGAGTGTTAACCTGCACAAGGTAATGCTAAGAGAAGGGGAAGCAAAATGAAATGCACCTTCAATTTTCAGAAAAGCAGATAGGAACGTTCTTCATATACACGAAGGAAATACTCAATCACACAGCACTATTTTCCTCTTCAATGGTTATTTCTATTAACCCTCAAATCATTAGATGTGCAGCTGAGCTGCACAAATAAGACAGAAAAGCATTAGCTTCCTTTTATAGACAGGAGGATTCAAACGATTTCTATGTGTTTTACATCAAGCTTAGAAGAGAACTCAGGTGTTCTCATTCTACTCCATGTAACCCTGCCCAGCAGTCACATCTCTGATGGGTGTGCATTTCTGTGTTTAGGGGTGGATGGGACAGGACAGGGAGGTGGGACATACCAAGAAAAATCCTTTACACAGCACAAAACAGAATAAAGGAAAAAAAAAAATGGCTCTTCACCTAGAATGGTTTGTCTTTTTTCTGCAGGAGAAAGGTTGAAAACATTGACGTGCTCTCCTGGATCGGTTTTGTAGTACGTCTCGATATCAATAGAGAACTTCTCCACAAAAGGGCACGTATACCTGGAAGTGAGAGCAACACGGTTAGAGTAAACTCTGCTCAGTCTGGCAAGCAGAGAAAATGTTTGCCTAAAATGTTCAAAATCAACTTCAAATTCAAGCCAGTCTTCACTCATATTGTACTTCAGATATACTTAAATTAAGGACTGTATAGATTAAAAAGACTTCAGTAACTTAAGACACAAGCTTGAATTATGGCTTCAGTGAAACTCCAAACCCACAGCACAAAGGAGTTTGCTACCCATGAGGTGTTACATGGATTACAGGTGAGAGGATTCCAGTGCTCCCCACAGTTACTGATAACTGGGCACCCAAACTAAACAAGAAACATCTTCCCAGCCAGCAAGAAGCAAACATTGGCAGGAGAAAGCCCAAGAGGACAAAAGACTGTGAATTAGGGCAACAGTGTCTCCTCCAGAAGATGATTATCAAAGCAGACTATATATGAAGGAGCAGTTTTCAGAAAGGAGATGACTACTGAGTCTGATGTACAACAAGTTTTATTATCTTTACTGATACGATACCCTGGATATGCAAGAAAAAAGCAGAGTTCCTGCCTGGAATCTGCAGCAGAATAAAATATGGACTGGTTTGGCACAAGGCCATGTTTCCTGGCCAGGTGATTCACTCACAGGCATTTCAAGAGGATGGATAAAAACAGACTGAAAGTGGACTTTAATCACTTCAAAGTCATACAGCTCCATTACATTTAGTCATGAACAACTGCCCATACACAGATGCTGACACTTCATCTTTCCCCAAATTCATGTTACTTGTGTCAAAACCAGCTAAAACAGATCTATAAAACTTACTTAAGACTTCTGATAAATATCAAAAGATTCTAAAGCCTTTTTATTATGGAAGATAACAGGAACATCAAACTGAATAGAAGGAATGCTCTAAACCAGAGCAAGTGGTAAGACAGTAATTTATTCCAGGGTATCTGAAGTCTTCCCAGACAAAAACGGAGGACCCAGATGGCTCCGCAGAGTCTCTGACTCTCCTTTCTTCTCAGAGAGAAAACCACAGGGTGTAAGTTTGTTATTTTCTGGCTCGGTAACAGTAAGATAGCTCCCAGAAAAGGAACACTAAATTTATTATCATTTTTAATGATTTTTCTCTCCTCCCACTTTCCCTCCTAGAATAAGTGAATCCTGCTGTATTTGATAGCGTTCAGCAAGACAACTTTCCCATCGCTATGCACATTTATATCCTCACTGAGCTAGCAGATAACTGCAACAGTAAGTAGAACACACAGTGCAGGAGATGAGACTAAATAAAAACCATTCAAGATTTCCCACGCTTTGATGGACAAACAGCTCACATTTTAGAGCAACCAGCTACAAACTGTCAAGTACTTATGCAGTCAGCCTTGGCAACACTTAAGCTTCTGAGATTAAGCGCTGTGTAAGAATTTCAGGACTTGGCACCTCATTTTCTCTGAAGGACATTACAGGAGATGTAAGACGTGCATCACACAGAAAGTGACAGTGAATCCTCTCTGTAAAGTAGGGATAGAACTCTGAACATTTTGGTAAATTTTACCTTGTCCTGGTATAAGGATATGCATTCCACGATTCCTCTTCGACTCGCAGAGCTGCCTTGGGCAATATTGACCGAAACCAGCTGGGTATGTGCATACCAATGTGGTACACTTTGTGAGTATACTGCCCATTCCCTCCTGGCCCATCCATGTACGGCCTGTTCTCCAGGATCTCTACTCCACTGCCTTCCCCACATGTCTCTTCTCTGCTCTTTTTCTGAAAGGGAAAATATACCACAGTGTTAATCATCCCAACATATTGCACATACCGAGGTCTCAAAGCACACAAAGACTTGGGATGGTTTCTAGGACTCCTGTTGACCACAGTTTCATACAGCCACCAGAACTGCAGCAGCACCCTGGCAGTAGGAGTACTAAAACTAGAGATTATAAATGAAAGATTTAGACATTCATCTGGACAACACAGGAAGCAAGATATTATTTATTAAAGATCCAATACAAACCTGGATGACATCTCTAAAGCTAAGAGAGAATTTGAATGAAGACCTAACGACACAAATTCCTACACTTACAAGACACATAGGTACACATAGGTCCCTTCTGACAGCATGCTACCCCTTGGCTCCAGCTTTGAATCACCCAACAGCACAACTATCACATCTGTGGGTAACATGGCAAAGGGGGGTTGGTCTAACTTGCCAAATTCTTGCAGTATTGTATCAGCACGAAGAATCACGCACACGTTCAGCACAGCACCGCAGTACTAAAAACTGTTTTACGACCCAAACCCATAGGATTTGGGGGTTTGTTGCCTGTGGTCTGGCAGAGCAGCAGCTCTCCAAGAATAGCTTGGAGGCTGTGCTCTGCTAATTAAGATATTTAGAAGAAATAACCCGAATTTGCCAGAATGCACACAGCACCCCCTGGCAGCCTCCACATTTTGGCTTATTTGTAGCAGTGCCCCTCATTGAGGGACCTGGCAGAATTTCCTTCAATCAGAAAACCACTAATTTCACTGCTTCTAAGAAGAGCCAGAGGGAAAACAAGTAGCTGTCCATCTATAACACGCTTCAGATCAGATGATGCACAACCTCCATCATTTCCAAACAACAGATTCGTGGTGTTAGTGTTTCAAGTTGTTGAGTTTCTTGTTTGTATTTGAGAGGATGGTGCTTCGGAAATTAAGAAAAAAACTGCAATTTTATACAAGAATCAACTGTGAAATATAACACAATAACAAACTCTCACTTCTGGCATACAAACAATTCAAAGGAAAACGAGGCTTAACAAAAAAATGATAAATGAGATGCAAGAGATCAGCTTCTCGTCTATTCAGGACTGGATGACAAGCCAACATAGCTATTTAAAAAGAGAACTTTTTCTTCCTAAAAAACTCTCAAGTGATTTAAAAGTTAAACAGCTGCAACCAACAAATCCAAATAACTGACAATCTAAACAGTCATTTTTTCCTGCCCCACAAACTGCAAAGTACTGCGAAAGAGAAGGGCTTTTTTAAAGTTTATATCTAACATTCAGCTGGCAGTTCATTAAAACACACATCCTCTTAAAACAAATTACTGCATTTCAGTTCTTATATAAGCACTGACCAAGTCCCGTACAAATATTTATGACAATAACATTAAATAATCTTGATAACCCAAAAATCTGATTAATTCAGAGGTCTCGGGAAAGGCAGCAACCCAGCAGGCATAGCGAATGTGTCAGACAGAATAGTAGCACGGCATCTGCTCCGAGCAGTTGATACAAATTATGGAGATCTAGAGCTTTTTTATATGGCAGAAGCACGAGGAAATCACAAGCAGAGGAAATACAGATTCTCTTAGTGCCAAGTTACCACACGTGGAATCACAGATCTGCTGGGTTTAAAGCTACTGTTCTAGATTATGTGGTTATCAACAGTGCCAAGTCAAATCTGCAGGTCCTTGGTTTGGACCAAAACACATGAAGGAGTTCTTCAATTTCAAAAGAAATCCACAGCACTGAGCAGTACCTCAGTACTGCTGTGAGCGTGCAAAGCCAAATCTGTGCACAAGAGTGGTGCCCCCAGACTTAACAACTGCTTGTATTGAAATGGAAAACCAAAACACTGAAGATGTATTTTAACAGCCATGGTTGACATTAAAACAGGCTTTCTTTCTGATGCTCTTCCTTTCAGAGCTCCCTCACAGAGATGCCCTGTGCCTTGCCTTCCTCTGAGAGCTCTCCAGCTCTGAGCCTGAACACTCAGCACCTGATGCTGCTGATTCTAACTCCAGCTCTCATCAAACAGCCCAGCAGCAGGCAGGGATGTCTCCTGCACTGTTTCCTTTATCGAAGCACCTGACACTCCCTTGGCAATACCACGTCACCTCTCCAAGAGGGGATCAACCCAGCTCTTGATTAATACAACTCCATTTTTGAACCCACCTGCATTGCTGATGGAAAAAAAATAACTGACACTCTTTGGGGAAGTCAGTTTCCATCCCACTTCTGATTTTTTCTTGCTTTATTCACTTCTACACACCTGCAAGAAACCCCAAACCCTATTCTGAGGCAGTGCTGGTTTCTGGTCTTTCTAGATAACCAACTCCAGTCCACAGACCTTTTTGTCAACTGAAAATGTTCAGTGAGTCCAAGCCCAACACGTACCTCCTGCTTGTCACTTTTCTGTGATGGGAACGGCAAGAACATTTTCTTAGATGAAAGGGAAGAAAGAGCTGCACCTTGGCATGACAAAAATCAGAGCTGCAAAGTTTGCACCTCAATCTAGCTTTTGAGCCAGGCCAATTTCTACTCAAAGCACAACACAGCTTATCACTGGAACAGTGGTACAACCAAAGGGAAACTTCCTGTGAGCCTCACAAGGCTGCTTCCCAGCACTGTATGCTCTCCTCCTTCCCAATTTGTGTGTGGAGAAGTCTGCATGCCACAGGGAGGTTGGGAAGGACCAATGAGGCCAGGTTAGATGGCAAACAGAACAATCACCGACCAGTCATAGAGACAAAAGGAAGATACTTATCTGAGAGAATACAATAAAGACATCAGCAACACGCACTCAACAGACCAGTATGATGCTCTGTGCCCAAGTGGCTCTGTGAAAGTACACCACTTCTAGGAGTGAAGAGCAATTTGCTTTTCAACCACAGCCTCTTCATGGCTATTGTGACTCAGCTACAGCATGGAGAGAGCTTATCACAAGGAAGTGGTCTGTAAACAACCATTTAAAAAATAACCACCGATGAGGAAAACATTTGGCTTGAGAAGCACTGGGCATACACTCTCCAAAGAATACTCATCTGCTGGGATAGGCAGCTGTGCAGGCATCTGGGGTCAGTGTTGGCTTCACAGACCATGCTCCTACAAAAAGTAGAGATTTTACTTAGTAGACTGCCTGTGTTATTGCTATTTGCTACCAACTGGCATTGCTATTTTCCCTCTACATAAATATGTGAGGAACAGTTTCCAACATCAAAGAGTACCTAACGGCCCCTATGCAAGATATCTAAGCTGTAATCACAGTAAACCGCCTTATATTGTATTACAACAGGAAATCTGGTCATCCCTTTAGAAGTCCCTCTCTTCTGCTGATGACACTCGATGTTCTGCACAGCCCCATCAATAGCTTTCCAGGACAGATGGTGACACAGATCCCTTCTAGCTAAAGTAATAGCATTAAATTACTCATAACAGGGAACCCAGAGAAGCAGATGCACCATGATTAGCAAGAATGTCAGTTACTTAAAGGGTTCTATTAAAATAAATCTCTTGGCACAGCAGCATAGCATGGGACACAGCACATGACCTCACCGTAATAACCGCAGCATGAATAACTCCAGTGAACGTCGGTTAAACATCAGGTGAGCCTAACCCCACTATCATCTCTCCTTCACAATGGGAGACACAAGGCTGTAAACAAAGCCAGGCTGACCGGCTCCCTGATCCCAGCAAATGCCACAGAGTGCATCCTGCAATGCTGTGCTGCAGCCGTCCTGGCCCAGCAGAGTGGGCTGAGGTGATGAACACAGTCTGTGTGGTTTTTAGCAGGGTCAGCTCAGCGAAGGAACGACAGCTGCTGGCAACAGAACCCTCCAGGTTGACAATTCAGCTTGAGAAATAAATCAGGATGGGGAAACAAAACTTGCTTTCTAGGCTTTTTAGTAGAATTAGTTTAATTCCATTCCTCTTAAACACTCTGAACGTCTCAGCTATTCGGGAGTGACTCCGATCACCCTGTCCCTGCAGGCCATGTGCAGCACATCCAGGCCGCAGCGATGCTCGCAGGCTCCACACGCAGTAGGAACACCATCAGGAGGCTCTGGGTGCTGTGCTGCATTTTGCAACTACAGAAGAACCTGGTTTCTACCTTGTGTTCCACACGTGCCTGGAGATCCACCGGTCAGCTTTAAGGTGTGTGAAAGGTGAATAAGGTGAAAGTCTATTGCCAAGGAGGCTTAAATTTGAAGAAGGCTGCATCCATTCGTGGGCTAGCATCCACTTCAAGAGGCCTGAGGGGAATTACACACGCTGAAAAAAGCTTGACAAACATTTACAAAAGATTTTGAATCCAGGCTTTTATGAACTCTGCCACACAGCCTGGAAGCAGTCTCAAATCTCTGCCATCCCCTGCACAGCATTATTACACAGACAGAAAATCTGCCTCATTAACTCTATATTGCATTTACTTCGATATTAATGCAGCCAGCATGCTCTGAGTGCTAACTGCACCACTGGAACGTCACAGATCCCTTCTGCAGACTGCAGCAGCATGGTGTGCTGATCAGAGCACTCAATGCTGCACAGCCTGAGGGTCCCAGCCCTTGGAGGGGACATAGGATTATCTGTACCATCCTCTCTTTCTTTATAGTTCTAGCTCTGATAAGTAGCATCTTAGATACTACTTTGATACTTCACAGACTTTGAGTGCCTTTCTCACCAGGATGATAACAGAACAGTAACTCATGGTGTTAACACAGTAAGAAGGGTAGTATCCTAAACCATCAGGTTCCTGTTCATTGCATTTCACCTCCAGAGTACAGCACAGCTGCATACAAGCTCTACCCCATACACTGAATCTCTGCAAAGTCTTCAGTAGAGTTGCAAACAGTTAAGTGGTTTCATTTCTTCTAAAGTTTTAGGTTTTTTCAATTGTAACTTAACTACTTTGAGCAACTGCAGAGAAGAGTAAAGACAGGGTGCATTGCATGGTGCTGATGGGCAACCCAAGCATTGTTCCAGTTTTAAAAAAATAAACTACAA